GGCCTTGGGGCTGGGGCTCCGCCTCGACGGTGAGGGCGCCCGGGAGCTGTGGGGCAAGGAAGGGATGGGACCTCTTTCCAGGAGCTGCAAGAGGAGCCTGCGTCGATGCCCTCGCCAGCTTCTCTCGAGAGTCCAGCTGATCAAGTTTAGGGACGTGAGGTTTGGAAAGGAGAGGCGCGTGCAGTCCTGCAAGGCCATCGCCCATCTGTTATACAATGGCTCTGTCTCAGACTGTGATGTAACAATATTAAGGACAGGTGTGTTCCCAACACCTTATCCACTCATTCCTGAGCCTCCAAAGCGACGCCTAGAATCCTGGTCCCTCTACTGCCCTTTCCCTGGACTCACTGCAGGCGGTCGCTCTACGGGGAGCTGTCTTACCTTTAAATCCCTTAAAGAATTTATCTTTAACACGGTTCCTTGGTTTTGTGGAATTTGACCCTGGAATTATGTATCTAACTTGAACAAGCCACAGTTTAACAAATCCAGACAAACCACGTTGAAGTTGATGTACCTTAAAGTGAATGAAATTTTCTTCAGTTACTTAGTAGAAACACCAAAGAAATTTGCTATCAGGGGTTGCAAAATATTTGCCAAATTTAAATGAGGACCATAAATAGGGTTTTGTGTTGGGGTGTTTTTGTCATTGCATGGTGGGGGGAAAAGGGGCCATACTGGATAAAGACATTGGCTGTGAAACATAAGGCAAGATGCATAGCCTTTCTGAGATTTCGTAGCCACTTTTGTAAATTGTATCTTCCTTCTGTCGATATAAAATAATACATGTAAGATTTTAGTGGTCTTACTGCTAGTTCACTCGCATATAGACAACAGGTGATGAAAATTAGGTCAAGGCACAGAAAAGTTGGGTGGTTGAGGTTGGACAGATGTCAGGTCTGAGATATAAGAATTCTTTTGGTGGAATAGTGGAGGAAAACCATACTAGAACATCGTCTGAGTCTTGACTCTGTGGACCAGTACAATGATCCTAAGTAAGCTATTGTCATTCTTGTCCTTGGTTTCTTTATTTGTAAAATGAAACAGCTGGACCAGATAGATGGCTTTTCTGAAATTCTTTGTGTGACCCACATTACAGATAAAAAGTAGAGAAGATCATAGCTGACATTTACTGAACACTTACAAGGTACACAAGCACATACATATCAACACTTTCAGTTCTCACAGCAAACCCACGAGGTGCATCCCCACTTCACACGTGAGGAAACAGGCTGAGATTTTCACCTTGCTCATGGTCCTGGAGGTTATAAATAAATCGTAGAGCTGGGATTTGGAATCAGATACTGTAAGCCCATATTCTTAATCTCTGTGAAAACTCCCTCTTGAGAAAAGATACCGTAAGGGAAATAGAGATGCTTTTGGTAAGATGATCATCTTTGGTCATGATTCAGAGTGTGGGAATAGGAAAGAATTAAATGTATCTTGTTCTAAACCTTGCCACGTGATTATTTTCTTTATACTTTCTGCTTCCTGGATTTAAATGATCGAACAATTTTAGATTCTCGTGCACCACCAAAGGCTAGATACAGCTAGGCATCAACATCTGCTATGAGTTTTTCGAGCAGAGCTTCAGATCTGAGGCAGATTAGGTTAGGCAGGGCAGCCTCCCATCTCAGATTCACTTGAGGGTTCCTGCATCTGAGCTGCTGTGGTGTGGATTTTCTTCGTGTCAGATTGGCATTTTTGTGAATGAGCCGCAGGAGTTTAGATTGAACTCTTCAGGCACATTTGGTATGGAATTGGATCGATGTGATGTGCACAACTCTAGGTAAAAAGGATTGTGTGGTTGAGAATCACAATCTTGTACCACGTACATATTAGGCCGTAAAACAGTGAGTGTTACTCTAGATAAGATGCAGTTTGAGGATTGATCTTCTTTTGGAAGAAAATAAAATTAATCCATAGCTAATGTATTTTAGCATAAATCAACTCTGATCCTGTGTGTAAAATAAGTTTATTGTTCTAAACTTAATGAAATACTCAGAATATGTGTAACAGTAGCATTTTGAAGCCCTCCTATTTCATCACATCACAGTAAAACTGTTATTTGTTGTTGCCGATGTGCTGGTCTGCTGGTCTGCTGGTCTGCTGGTCAGGTTTTGCATCATGTAGCCCTTGAGGTGCAGGCTTGCATAGATTATGATGTCAACAGTGCTCCCCTGGGCTGTGTGGTATCTTGGAGCACTGTCCTGTGGCACTGCTTGTGTGCTCCTGCCCCTCCGCAATCTTTTTTTTTTTCTCCTCAGTTTTTTGAGACCCGATGTTGCTCTGCAGTTCAGACTGGCTTTGAACTCACTTTGTAGGGTAGGCTGGCCTCAAATGTAGCAGTTCTCCTGCCTCGGCCTCCTGAGTGCTGGGATTAAAGGCATGCACTGTCATGCCCTCCTCAATCTTGAATGTGTTATTTAAGCCCTCTTGACTCCGCTTTTTTAAATGTTTTTTTCAGAAGTCAAACCAGGGCCAGGGATTTAGCTTTGTGGCATTGTCTGCCTTGCAAGCGTAAGGTCCTGAGCTCTATCCCCCATACCAAAAAAACAAAAGTCAACCCACTGATATTTCTTCATTGTGATTGTTTCTAGTCTGAAGGCATCTTTGTTCAATAGGTTCAACATATGAAGGCATAACAGTGCCTTGGGTATACTACATGTTCAATTAGTACTTGTTGACAGAACAGGCTTAGGTTGCTTCATGCATGTTAGATTGACTGGCAGAGCTCTTTGCATAGGAATTTTGTGCTCTAAATTTTGAAGGCAAGGCTTTTATTGAAATAGCAAATGTTTATATATATTTACTTACCTGTGTCCTCGTTGTTGTTTTGGTTTAACCATAACCAGGTAATGGATGGACATTTTTAATTTATTCTGTTAGTGGTGTATTTGAAAATATTGTATGATTCTTTTGAAAAATTCTCATATAAAAATTAAAATTATATATGAAGCAGTGTCTTCTTCCCTATGAACATCCCTAATGTGCTGTTTTTTATATCACAGTTTAGTAAATATACAATTTTGTGAACATTTCTGCCATGTTATTAGAGTAACCATGATTATTTTTAAAAGGCTCTCCATTATGAATTACAACTGTAATTTACCATGGTGACTAGACAGCTATATTCTGATTTACTGGTTTGTAAGAGCGAAGATTTTTGTGTATGTAATTTTACCTTCTTTGTAATTGTCCTTAGGCTAAACTCCAAGAGTAAAATACTCAGTAAAAAGGATTTAAATGTTCTGTAAATCTTTATTATTATACTACCTTTTTAAAAGGTTACACATTAATATTTTCTAATATTTGTGTATTTGTGTCTCCGTAACTCTTCCACTAGCCATTTGATCATCTTACTTTTAAAAACAATTGAATAGGGCCCGGGATTTAGCTCAGCGGTTCGGTGGCCTGCCTTGCAAGCGCAAGGACCCAAGTTCAATCCACGGTACCAAAAAAA